GGTGGGACGACGAGCTTTCCTTTAAAAAGAGTTTGGTGTTATCCTCTATTGATCATTGATACAACGATTGGGAGTCATAAGGAGATTATTATGCCGACAGGCGGCCGACGGGCAAAGAGTGTCGACTCTATTATTAAACCAACGGATATACAATGATTCATCGATATTCCAAGACTGAAAAACGCCTTAATAGCCAGTGATTATACTTGTTAAGTAAGACTATTGTATTGTATTGCATGTGTACAGAACTGTTCTTATGATCTCATTATGGATTTACTGATTTATTGTGAATTTATTGATATCGAATTGATTTATTGATATTGAATGGATTTACGGGTTTACTGTTACTGCATGATTTTATTGATATTGCATATTGTACATGTCACTGGATACAGATATTGATGTGGATATTGATACTATTGATACTATTTATTTATTGATACGATTGATTCATTGATACTATTGATTCATTGATATCATTGATTTTATGATACACCGAATATTGATGTACTGCTAGTGATACACTGATAAAACTGATAATATGTGATACACTGAGCACGTGATATAGTATATATTTTTGCTGTATTGATTCGATTTTAACTATTCTTACGATGTATTGATTTGATTTCCACTATTTTTCATGATATTAATCTTGGTCATTTTATATGATTTTATACCGATTGATACTATTGACCGGGGATGATTTCCTTATTCATTGATTTGATTGATTCTATGGATACGATATTGATTGATTGATATTATAGATATGATGGTTCTTTTTTATGGATTTGACCGATGTTTGAAGGTACGATGGAATTGACGTATGTACTGATTTATTGAGCATTGTGGATTTTTTTACTGTTTATCGATTTTCCTACCGAAGACTATGAATTTTATTAATTATGCATTGATTATTGATTTTTGTATCGGCATCGATTCAATGATCATGTGCAATGGATTATTATTGATTTGATTGATTGACATGCATCTTGTTTCCGTACTGTGCTTTGACTTCAGTTGTAGGCTTTGGTAACCTGCTGGGCTTTTTGAAGCTCATTATATATGGTTAATATTTTCAGGTCAGGGCAAGGGACCAGGAGTGTGAGGTTGATCTGAGATCTTCAGGTTTTTGTTCTTTTTTTTTGTTATAGTTATTCTTTTGTACTTAGGACTGTATAGATTATGATTTTGTTGAAGATCCTGAGTATTATAAATGACTTTTGGGAATGAATAGAAATATTTACTTGATGTTTTGAATTATAAATTTTGTTAGACTGTTGGTCACTTATTGATGACTATAGATAGCTCTGGTAGAAGATTGATTTAATGGATTGACTGAATAATTCTTTCCAAGTTAGATCTTGGGGCGTCACACATCCGACCACCATCACAGGATAACGGTCTTTTAGACCTCTGTCGTCTACCGACTGCAGTCATTTTGACCACCATCACCAGACCACAATTCTTCCAACCATTATAACCCGAGTAAGGCCTTTTTGACCTCCATCGTCCACTGACTATGGTCCTTTTGATCTCCATCGCTTGCTAATTACGATCATTTTGACCACCATCACCACACTATGGACTTTCTAACATCCTTTGCCCACCGAGACCTTCAATGTATGTTGCTTATGGTACTTCTAACAACCGTCACCCGATTATAGTCTTTTAACCTCCGTCGTCCACCACCGACTACGGTCTTTTTGACCTCCATTACCCACCGAATACGATCCTTATGACCATCATCACATGACTACATTCTTTCTGACCTCTGTCACCTAACTACGGTCCTTTCGGCCACTATCACCCTAATGTAGTCTTTGAGATCTCTATCGCTTGATGATTATGGTCCTTCCGACCATATTTAGCTGACTATGGTATTTTCAACCTCCGTCGTCTGACTGCAATTCTACCAACAATCGTCACCCGATTACTATCTTTTTGGCCTTCGTCGCCCGCATAACTATGGTCTTTCCGACCACTATCACCCGCCTAACTAAGCACATTCACCCGACTACGGTATTTCCAACCAACTTCGCCTAATTACGGTCCTTCCAACCACCATCACTTGATTACAACCTTTTTGACCTTCATCACCTGATTACGGTCCTTCCAACCACCGTCACCCGACTATGATCATTCTGACCTACATCGCTGCTGACTATGATATTATCGATCAAACGAACATATCAATCAACATTGATTCTTCAAACTCCCACAATATAATGCACTTTATATGATGTATATTTGCTACTTCGAGGTATGACCTTCCCCCCAAGGAATTGTCTCATTTGTAATTTAATGTAAATACTAGTGGATTCATTTAAATTGAGCAAGACCCATGATTTTCCCTCCTTTTAAAGGTTCTCACGTAAAAACTCTGGAGTCACTTATGAATGCTACACCCCTCTTTATCAGCTGACTGTGTGTTGGATCTTCATACAAAGCTAGGACATTAAACTTTATGTTTTTTTTTACTGTCGCAAAAGCTCTAGGACGCAACAAACATCAATTACCTTAATTTCTGAACAATTAATATTATGCGGTTGCAATGAAACATATTTTTTTGGAGAATCGTTGATATTATGAAATGCAATGACACAACACACTATTTCATGATCATCTGTGAAAGCAAAAAGCATCAGGCAATAACTACCACCTTGAGTGAACTAATATGGTTAGCTTATATATTGTATGACATTGTCATTTCCACTTATTCATCATCACTTTTATTCTTTGACATTGGCATTTCCACTTATAAAGGCAATAAAGAGTTTATACTTTCCCTTTTCTTCCTCATGGGTTTTATGCACTGAGATCAATGTACTTTTAATATACAACACCAAGTAGCCATAAGTTGAGATTTAGGCTTTGTTTGGGACGACTTTTTTATTTCTTTTTAAAGCAGTTTTCTAGCACAAAAAATTAAAATTTTGTATCAGAAAATTGCTTTAAGAAACAGTAAGAAAGTCGCCGCAAATGAAAACTTAATTCGTATTATACAACATATATCTTAGTTACATTCCTATATTCTTGATATAACATCAAAAAATTACCTTGATCGAGCACAAATCTTGAGACAAAATCAAGTTGGAAACTTCAAAAATTAATTCGGAAACCATCTCAACTCCGATTTCAGCAAACTTATAGTTGAACTGAGCGTCTCAGAAATACAAACTCAACGACACCAAAGTCGACCCAACTGAGCTCAAATGAGTCCAAATCAAAGACCATAAGTACACTTGGAAGATTCAAATCATAATTTGGATTACCAAACAATTTCCAAATATGACTTACTTATAGTCGAATCATGCGGATCGACGAGACTAATCCAACAAGCCAAGATCGTTGAATTCTGATATCATTAGAGCCTTCAAATGCCTAATAAACGATCTACGATCAAGACATTCAACATTGGCTGTCCATTCAAACTACTTCTAATTCACCCATGATCTTCCATATATTTTCTGGTCATGTCACTCTCATAAAACTATAAATAACTCATCATTTCTCTTAAGTGGGGATCCAAGCAAGAAGAGAATAAGAGAAGATAAGGAATAAAAGAAGGAAGAAAATGAGGAGAAGGAAGAAGCTCCTCCTCGACCACCGCCGAACTTTCATCCGACAGCCGACTGACGTCTGAATTAAGCAAGGAAGCAAGATGGGAAGAAAGAAGAGAAGGAAGAAGAGAATGAATAGACTCCTCCTCGACCACTGTTGGCATTCCTCCCGAACTCCAAGTGACACCGGGGTTTTGCCCGACCTTCAAGTGACGCATGAGTTTTGCCTGGTCACCCATTATCTATGGAATTCTGATATCTCTTTGTAATTGAACTTCAACTCGAGAGTTGTAATATGATCGCCCTCAATTTCAGGAACGAGTCAACCAGTTGTAACTTAATCAAACATGAGTGGAATCTTATCAACTGGGCGTGGCCCCTCGTTTTTTCCCTTTACAGGGTTTTCCACGTAAAAAATACTAATGTTCTTTCATCTTCTATTTGTGTGCTAGATATCCATATAACGCTGAAACGAAAAATTTTTCAACTCTATCGCCGCGTATATTCAAGCCCGCAACAATTCTACTTCTTAATCTTCAGTAAAGTTAGATCAAATTTCTACTAACTCCACTGAAGAGGTTCGAGCTATGAAATCAAGATAACTCGTTTAACTTTATTTCATTTATTTCATAGCTAAGTAAATATCTTGAAATATATATCATTTCTTCTAATGTGTGAGTTATACTACCAACTTTGCCCTCCAACACTCATTTTATTTATTTATTTTATTTATTTTTAAAATAAAAAGAAAAAAAAAAACTCCAACACTCATTTTACTAAAAACAACTCTTTTTAGTTGCATGTATATTAAAATTTTCTTAATTAAATAAAACATAAAAAATTTCATCATTAATGTTAATCCCCTCACACAAAGCACTCATTAAATTATAAACACATTAATTAATCATTTACATAATTGTACTTTTAAACTCAATTATTAGTGCCAATTAGTCTAATTGATTTTTTTAAAAAAATATTTATGACCCTTTGGTATTTAAATTTTCTTTTGAAGCTCGGTCAAAGGGGACCAGCTTAACGTGCTTAAAGCTGCATAAGGAGCCCTATAAAAAAAGGTCAAAAAAGAGAACTCTTCCAGTATCAGTATCCAATTCACAGTGTAGCCTTTTGTGTGGCTATCATCAATAAATAATTTAAGAAATAAATAAAGGGTTAAATTTTAAAATTGTCCCCAATTATTTATATATAATTATTTTATTTTATTCAGTCCCTCAAATATATAAAATTAATTCAAAATCGTCCTTTTAAAATTAATTTTATATCACAATTAAATAAGAAAATAATTTGGATCAATTTTATATAATCGAAAAAATAAATTTGAGAAAGGCAGACTAAAAAAGCCGAATAATTGGGGACTGATTTGAAAATTTTTAAATAAATAAATAATGGAAGGAGAGGAAGTTACAGATCTCTTTGAACTGCATTTGGCTTTGGTTGCTTTGTTTTTTCGCAGAATGAGTAAAGATCAGTCTCCTCTCCTTCTCTAACACTTGCGCGGGACGAAGAAGGGATCGCCGGCGGCGGAGATTCCCACGAGAGGTAGAGATTCCGGTCACATTGCCTCCCTGTTTTCGTCTCTTTCTCTCTCTCTTCCTCGCCACGTTTTTAATTTTTTACATGATAAAGTAATCTTAGGAAGGCTTGATCGTTCTTCCTCTTCGACTAGTTTGAATTGGTTATTTGATGAAAAATATGAAGAGGAGAATGGCGGGACCTTTCGTAGATGGGAAAAAGAAAATCCAAACTAGTTATAGTTGGGCACCGATTCAAAGCTCCGTTTACTTCAACTGAAACTTGGAATTTGTAAAAAAAATTGAAGAATCGATGATTAAGTAAAATGGCTTTGTTCGATCTCTGAATATTTGTACAATCAATTTTAACGAGCTGTTTGGTATCCGTTCAAACGAAATATTGGGGACTTGAATCCTACTGATTTGATGAATCCCTTTCCAACTCTTCCATTTGTTATATATAGATTTTGTTGAATCCCATTATTCACCCAATTCAACAGATGCATGAATTTTGGTTTGACAAAATCTTTAATCCTGAAAAAATAGTCAAATAATTCATGAAAATTTAAGAAGATTTAACAATTCACGTGCCAAACAGTTTTCAGGTTTTAATCCTAGCTAGATTTACTAAATCTGAATTTATGATATTTACTAAATTCTATATAAGTTAAATTTTGCTTGTAACCATTAAAAAAAGAACAGAACAGAACTGGACCTACTCAAAAGTTGTGTCTCCATCTTCTTCTTTAGTGTTGCGTTTACGAATGAAAAAACGCCATACATTTGCATCTTGAATGAGATTTGAAGATCCGTTATTTGCTCAGTGGAGATGTTTTCGTGAGTGGTTCAGGTCGGAATGAGAAATGGTGGTGGCGAAGGTGGAGAAGAAGAGAGGATATCTGTTTCGGTGAGGGTGAGACCCCTCATATCACAGGAGATTGAGAAGAATGATCATTCAAAATGGGAGATCATCAACAACAATACTATCATCCTAAAAAGCAATGCCCCAGATCGATCTGTTGTGCTCCCATGTGCTTACACATTTGGTAAGTACTCAATTTTAATTTGACATGGCATTTGTATGATATGCAGTAACTTGGATAATTCATAATGATTTAAACCATTGAACCCCTTGTTTTCTTGTTGGGTAGTTTTTGATTTTAGTGTACTGGTTCTTGCTCAAATCATATTCGGTATGGATTCAGCCTCGAGTGTTGGTTTTGGCTTGTAATTTGTGCATTTCTATTTTTCGTCTCTTCATTTTTTAGTTAGGTGGCTGCAACATGTCAGACGAAATTTTATAAAAAAATTATCACATTCTAGTAGATATTGTTGAGAAAAACTTTTTATCATTTGAAGTTTCTGAGAATTATCAAACAAGTTAAAGCAAGACAGAAGTGTGGCAGCGGACTATAAAAATTACGAAAAATTGGGTCCAAACACCTCAGTAATTGTTCACGGTTCATAGTTTTTGCAAATGTTTTGTGATAAAAATCATAAATGATAGAATTTCCATATCATATTGGTTGAGAAAAGCAGTTCATGAACTTCAAGGAAGGTGATGTCTGGAAGCCTTTCTTGAACTGACATTCGAATTTCAAACTAAAATGAAATTTCAACCGTTGATTGCTCTTTTTGATATGTTCAACGGATTGTTTGCCTTGCATGTATTACTGCAGGCTATTTTGGTTTCTAGATTTTTGACAGCTTTATTTGACTGATTATTGCTACACTTCTTTTTTACGATAATTTACTTGTTATTTTCAGAAATTTTTATTGTGAGAAAGAAGTTTTTTACAACCAAAAATATTAGAATATGATAGCTATAAAAAAGTTGTCCTACTTTTTCTAAAGAATCACAACAAATAACTTGACTTTTCATACAACTATTTCACAACTAATTTTATTGATGGTTCCAGCCATCCCAACTGAACCTTCTATTTATGGACGTTACATCTTTGCAGTATTTGTGGAGCCAAATCCATCTTATTCATTTTTAGGGGTTTAGAGTTCAATGCTTTGTTTGCTCTTCTTTAATAGCTGGGATAAGTAAGATACTGACATTTCAAAATGACTGTGGCAGAAGTGCCTAGTTAGTAGTTACTGAATTTTGTACAGTTCTGTTTGCTCTCAAGTTTGCACTTTTTAGCGTGCTCTCTTTTGCATGTTAAAATAGATAGAGTATTTGGGCCCAATAGTGACACAAGGCAAGTTTATGAGGAAGGGGCAAAGGAGGTTGCTCTTTCTGTAGTCAATGGAATCAACTGTAAGTAGAATCTTTTATCCGTTGCTCCACTGACCCAATCACCGCTTCCCTCCCACCATCTGTATTCTGTCTGTGTGGTGCTCTTGTGGAGTATTACTTGGTCTATATATGATATATGCAGCAAGTATATTTGCGTATGGACAAACAAGTAGCGGAAAGACATACACAATGAATGGGATAACTGTGTACACTGTGGAGGATATTTACGAATACATCCAGAAGGTTCTTTTTCTTGCTTTCTCTCTTTTTACTATCTGATAACATGTTTGGGATGACTTTGAGTTCCTCTTCTCCTCACGATGTACCAAGAATGAGGTTTTTAGAGGTATTCTGGCTCAAGGTGGTGTTGAGATGGATTGTGACTTAGAATTCATGAGATTCTAGTTCTAGTGATGGGACACATGGTAGGCTGGGAGATGGCCCAATGCCACCTTAGATATAGGATAGTTAACAGACTATCAAATGATTATCCTTGATAATTACAATGATTTACGATAGAGCTCATTATGGAGGACAAGAAATCTTTAAGTTCACAATGCGCCCCTACTATGGATCTCTCTCACAACCAAGAATATTCGTTTGATAGTTTGTCGACTATCCAATGTCTAACACATGGCACTAAGCCACTTTTTCCTTGGATTTTGCATCGCTATCCGCCTCTACATCACCTCAAATCAAACAAGTGCCTATAAATACCTCATTCCCAGGCCATCATCATCAAGAGGAGAGGAACTCAAGTCAGACTACAAATTTTATCAAATTAAAAAATCACAAAAATAAGTTTATTCCTCTTTTATCTCACATGTATTTTGTTCTTTTTGCAGCATAAAGAGAGAGAATTCATTTTAAAGTTTTCAGCTATTGAAATATATAATGAAGGTGTTAGTGATCTTCTAAGTTCAGACAATACCCCTCTTAGGCTTCTTGATGATCCAGAGGTGAAGGAATTTGTAAAGTTAATTTGTTTCTTTGTCACATAGGTCGAGCATTTTTTTTTATTGAATGCACCTTATTTGTTTGATTAACTCTTTGTTTTTAGAGGGGTACTGTTGTTGAGAAACTAACTGAGGTAAGACTAAGGGATAAATGTCATCTTGAGGATCTTCTAGCTATTTGTGAAGGTACAAAGCATCGCTTAAGACTACAAATTTTGGTGCTGGTGTTAGTTTCATTATCTAGGTTGGTGTGCTTTCAATAGTAGTCAGATCAAGTTTGGCATCTTAAATAGACTACCATATTGAAGGGGATATATTAGAGAAAATTCTTCATTGCCATTATTTTGTAATTATTATTATTATCTGATTTTCAGACCTTTTTATAGACTGTATATTTTTATAAAATCTCATCAAGTCAGTGAGAATATCAGGCCATTATTCAATGACCTCTCATATACCAAATCCTTGACTAATCTTTTAGATTTCCTTCAAACCACTGAATTTAGAACCAACCAAAAGTTGGTTGATATTGTAGAATTTGGTGAGTCTGTGAACCAGATTATGAAGATGCTATATTCTTATTTAATCAATCTGTTGCTCTTATTGCAGATCAAAGACAGATTGGCGAGACCTCCTTAAATGAAGCAAGCTCCAGATCTCATCAAATACTCCGACTGGTTGCTTAAGTGGATCCAACTAATTAAATGAATTTACTCTTCCTTTTTTTCTCGTCGGCATAAATGCACCAAATATTTCATTTCTAGTTTGCTGTCCATTGCAGACAATTGAAAGCTCAGCTAGACATCATGATAAGGATAGCTCCAGCTCTCTTGCAGCCACAGTGGTATAAATTGTTCCTAAAGCCATTTAAAAAAAAATAAATAATGTGGGACAGAAAATGAGACTAACTTGAGTTTTTATTTTAGAATTTTGTTGATCTGGCTGGTAGTGAGCGAGCATCTCAGACATTATCTGCTGGGACAAAGTTAAAAGAAGGTAGTCACATAAATCGGAGTTTGCTTACTCTCGGAACTGTTATTCGCAAGCTAAGGTTGGTACTGTTAATCAGGAGTTTTTTAAATTTTAATCTAAATCTATGGTTACAACCTTGTAGATGATTTTTGTTCCTTAATATTAAAGACCTATTTTAATCCAAATTTATTTATTTATTTTTTCAAGATTTAGGGTCTGTTTCGAGCTTTTTTTCACTGCATTGCTTTTCAAACCAAAATCACAATTTCATTTGGCTATTACTTTTATTGGGAAGATGCTTTTAACAGCCTAAGTTACTAATGTGTGGTAGACTAGTAGTTTTAAGAAAGTGGTTGTTCAATTTAAAAAGAAAAAAATATGATTACATTGTTCGTAAAAGTTTTGAAAAAATTGCTTTTCCTACAATAGTTTCATAAATATCTTTACAAAATACTACAGCCGTCCTAAACAGGATCTTAGAGATTAATAAATATGATTAATGAAAATTTTGTGTGGCTCTATATGTCTAAATAAGAAGTTCCCACAACATTGTCTCCCCATCAAACAAATTTGATGCGAGATTGCTACATTGGGTACCCATACCCATACCCACACATGTACCCACCCATACCCAATGGGTATGAATGTGTATGGGTACGCCCATGGCTTGTGGGTGGGTATAGGTGGGTACTCAACATCAGGGGGATAAATCAATTTACATTGTTAATCACCGTATATCTTATATTACTGCAATCCTCACTATGTAGTGTGCAGCACTTAACCACGCTGTGACTATGATAAATTCTAATATGTGGCTAGAAAGTTTGCAATCATAATAAAGGGCAACAAGCCTCAAGGCCATCAGTCTGTTGTAGACTGCATTAAAAAAACATGGGAAGTGGGTGGGTATAGGTGGGTACGACATCCTGAAAGTCATCATGGGTGGGCGTGGGTGGGTGAAGCCCGTCTGAGTAAAGCATGGGTACCCAATGGGTACCAACCAAGACCTCATATAGGGCTTTGATTGCTATTGTTTGAGTGTAGGAATTTTGGTGGGTTTGTGATGTAACACGGATGGGTGGGGGGGAATTTTGAAAATTGAAATTAAAATTGGAAAAAAAGAGGTGGTGGTTAATTAAATCTCATAATTGGATATTCAATTAAGAAATTAAATAACTAAGGGGGGAGGGGCCGGCGGCATTAAAAGGGGCTTGGAAGTTTATGGAGAGAGATTTAAATACTTGCCAAGTAGAAAACCTTAAATTAACAAGAAAATTCTCAACAGAATATCAACTCATATGAATCTACGTCATAACCAAGCTTCCAACCCAGCAGTTCTTTGGGGTAGCAAAATCTTGTACTAGGGCTAGTTCAATTCCGTATAACGGTCAAGTTGAGAAAGGTGGGCCTATTATGTATTTATGTTTATACTTTAATCAACTTAGCCCACTTGGGCTGACTAGATCTTGTAAGGCCATTTGTTATCATAATATATGAGGTCGCGTTAGGATAACCACATCTACACATGGCCAACCAGGGCTATATCAGCCATCTAGGTCTACATTTACCCAGCTAAGACCTTACTAGACCTTGTAAGGACTTTTTTTTTTTTGCTATCATTTTATAATTATATGATTATTTTTAACTTAGATTATGATTTAAAAATTGACATTTTATTCCTTATAATGCATCTGATTAGACTATTATCGATGTTTTATTTTTATAAGAGCAAATATTCTCCTTTTTTTTTAACAAAAATATCCCTAAAAATTAAAATATCCTTCAAAATAGTTTTTGCATGTATCAAAAAAGTATACAAGAAACTACCCTTCATTGGGATATTTTGTTTAAAATAATATTTTGGAGGATATTTGTTAAAATAATAAAAATAATAGGGATAGTTTTAAGAGAAAAAATCAAATTGTCTCACTATTTTTCTTTATTGATTATCATTTGTTCTTTTTTTGTCCACATCCTTATCTTAAATGCAGCAAGGGAAGAAATACACATATTCCTTATCGAGATTCAAAGTTGACACGAATATTACAGAATTCCTTGGGAGGTAATGCGAGAACTGCCATTATTTGCACAATGAGTCCTGCGCGAATCCACGACGAGCAGTCGAGAAACACCCTTTTATTTGCAAGCTGTGCAAAGGAAGTAACTACCAATGCAAATGTTAATGTTATCATGTCAGACAAGGCATTAGTAAAACATTTACAAAGAGAACTTGTTAGGTTGGAAGATGAATTGCATTATTTAGGCTTAGGCTCAACGCATACAACATCTCATCTAGATGTGTTGAAGGAGAAAGATGCCAAAATCATAAAGGTACCCATTTAATTTATGTATGAGTCCATAATACACATTTTGGGGAAAAAATATTACGTGCGGTGTTCGGATTCGTTCGGATGCGAATCCGAACGCGCCACGTCACTTGAGGCCCAATGCATCCGGGGTGACGTGGCGTGTCCGGATTCGCCTCCGGACAGTTTGAACGCCACACGCAATAATCTCTCCATTTTGGGAGGGTTAACTATCTAAATAATTGTCATATTACCTTTGTTTTTTTTTCAGATGGAGAAAGAGATAAGGGAGCTAATTCAGCAAAGAAATCTTGCTCAGTCTCGACTACACAACTTGCTTAGCTTAGTTGGGGATGATCAAGCTTTGAGACTAACGGTACAATATTTATTTTTAAGTTAAACTCAGTTGCTCACGCTGTGTCTAAATAAATTCTCCAAACATTTTCTTAATGTGTTAAGGAGGAATATGGACGGTTTATGCCGAAACCAAAGGCACATAATCTTTATGAGGATGATCATTCTTCAAGACATTGGGTAGTTTACTTTTATTTTAATTTTGGTACATAAATTTTTCTACTTAAGTGGAGGAATCAAGCCAATTATCAGTACAGCTTGCTTCTGAACATCAGGCTTTCAGAAAATGGGTGCTTATAGGCTCAGATTCCTCATGATATGAAAACTAATCTTAGATCTTTTGTTCTCCTTTCTTGGCTTGCTTTTTAGGGGGAATCCATCCAACTATCTGTTGGCCATCAACCTGTTGCTTCTGAAGATGAATCATCCATATCGCAAGCATCGGGAATTAGTTATCACAGTCCAGAATTTGGCATTTCAAAGTGCAGGTTTCCATATGTTAATGATAGCTATGATCGAAATCACCTAAAGTCTGAAAACTCGGTGAACAGTGCTAGATACTTTCCTCGAAATACTTATCAAAGTCCAAGAATTCCTCGATCCCAATCTGGAAGTTTGGACGACCAATGCAAAGAGGTTCGGTGTATCGAAATAAACGATTTGAAGAAGAAAACAGATGAGTCCAGTCTCCTGCTGGATGACTATGACAGTCTTCTACCAATGACTTTTGAAGCCAAGGAACCAAGTCTTAAAGCAGGCAACAGTTTTGGACTTGCCTTGCAAAATCAAGTTAAAATGACACAAACTAGTGATAATCTTATGAAACCAGTTCCAGATGTATTAACTCCAAGGTGTGCAAATTCTCAAGAAAATCCAGCATGTTCTACAAAATCTTTTTGTGTTGAGGATATAAAGCACAATAACAATACACCGACTTACAGCTTGCTAAACGATTTTCCACTAAGGCCTGAAAATGCCTCAAATGGAAATTCTTCGGCAAGTTCCGGAAGAGAAACTGAAGTTCGTTCTGGAGTTTCTCAGAAACTAGAAATTTCTCCAAGGGAGGAGCTCAAAGTTGAAGACGCCACCATTGCTAGTGAAGATAAGGTTAGAGCAAGGGGTTCAAAGAACGCTTATGAAACTTCCCTTCCAAGCATTTCCAACCATGTTGAACAGCTGGAGAAGGTGCCGCAACCGCAAAATCAGAAACAATTAGTACAACACCAGGTGCGCAAGAGTTTTTTTCATCATATACATATATTTCTCTTTTGAGCATGTACTATTTGATCATTGAAGCGTAGTTCATTATTTAAAAAGATCACCAAGATCGGATATGCTTTGATTTTCTCTCTATTTCATTAGCTAAGTCGACTCTTTTTAAACTCATCCATTTTTTAAAATAAGATAAAAGAAAAAAAAAACTTTTTAAGGCTTTTAGAATTGGACCAGACGTTAAACATGTAAAAAGAAAGGTTCAAGAGGTTCAACTGAGATTCAATCATGATGACAATATAAATATTATTAAAATAAAGGAATTTTTACATGCATAACACTTAAAACTATTGAAAATATATATTTAACACCTAAACTTCTATATTTACTAATATACAACCTAAAATCCCCTTTCCTTCTATTCTACCACCTAATTGAAGTGTTGAGATACTTGTATTAATTTGTGAAAGGATGCCATTGACAGGAAAGACAGTCGCTGATAGTGATTTTTGACGGAGGGTTTAAACGGAATGTTAGAATTGATTAAAAGAGGGGTTTTAGATGGCATATCAGTAAATATAGAAGTTTAGGTGGTAAATATGTATTTTCAATAGTTTTAGGTTTTATGCATGTAAAAATTCCTAAAATAAATTAAAACTACTTAGATGATGTAGCATTTCTAATAATGATAATAACTAAGTGTTAATATATATATATAGTCCAACCGCAACGGGATCATGAATCATCAATCATTCAAATTTTAAATACTTTATGTTGGAACTTTGTCCCTGTTTTCCAGCTAACCCACTGGAGTTGCCTCTTATAATGGAATGATTTTCTGAGCTGGCTGACTCCTTGTTATATTGCAGGAGATGCATCAAAACCCTAACGAAAACTACAAGGCAGAGGAAACCAAAAATGTAGCCAGCAATGAAACACTGTCAAGTTCTTCAGAATCTCCTTCTCAATGGCCTTTGGAATTTAAAAAGCAGCAGAGAGAGATAATTGAACTATGGGATACATGTAATGTCTCCCTGATCCACAGGACTTACTTCTTCCTCCTCTTCAAAGGTGAGCCTACTGATTCTAGCTATATGGAGGTGGAGCATAGGCGTCTATCTTTTCTCAAAAGAAATGAGAGTGGAACTGTCGCCTCCAGGTGAGCACTTCATTGATGTCTTGCAATGTTTAATCAGGTCAAAATTAAGTATGAGTATTAGATCATAATTCTTATAAAATCATAAAGTTCATTCATAAGTTCTGAATATATTTTAGAAATTTATACTTCGTTTGGGACGGCTTTCTTACTACTTCATAAAGCAGCTTTTTAGTACAAAAATTAAAATTTTTGTACTAAAAAGCTATTTTAAGAAACAGTAAGAAAGCCGTCCCAAACGAAGTCTTAGTTGTTTAGATTAGAAGCAAATCAAATGTATTTGAAATTTTTTTTATTAGCATTCTATAATGCAACATTTCAAATGCATTGAAATGCGGATGGTAGGCATCAACAAGAGGGCAAGGAGATAGTGAGGTCTTATGTTACATATATTTGAGACCAGGGAAACACTTTTTTAACCGAACTTAAAAAGAATGCAAAGAGGAAATCTGTAATTCAATTCAAGATCTATGAGCTTCCATGAATCATCAGTCATTGAAAAGGGAGAAATCTAATCACAATTTTACTTGCTCTACTGCAAATTCAGCCTAAAGAATCTTCAACGCGAGCGAGCAATGCTACACAGGAGGATCCAGAAGAAGCTTTCTTCAGAGGAAAGGAACAATCTTTACATCAAATGGGGCATAGAAGTGGATTCTAAGAAGCGTAAAATGCGTTTGGCTAAGCTGCTATGGACTGATACCAAGGACATAGAATGTGTTAAAGAAAGTGCTTCGCTTGTGGCCAAGCTAATTGGGCTCCTGGAACCTGAGCTGGTTCTCAAGGAGACGTTTGGACTTAGCTTCATGCCACGAGAATGTCGCCGACGGTCTTTTCGCTTCAATTTAATGTTTTCTTCCAGGTGAGCCATAGTAGATTTCAGAAGACTGACCAGTCTGTCTTGTTCTTGTCATATTTACAATGATTTGCTTTCTTATTTATGTGTCATTCTTTGGTGTTATGATTTGTTTGTAGAAAGGTTTAGATTTAACTAAAAAGAAACAATGCAATGGTGAAGGGCTTAGAAGCTAATTGTTGCCGTTGATATTATTATTATTGTTATTTTGCAGTTCTAGGTGATTATATATTCGGAGCAATTTCATGTTTAACACTCAAATCACATGTATTTATAAAACTAACACTTACCTAGAGTCTAATGATGCACGGATACTTCTCCTCAAATAGGCGTGCAGTGTTTGACACGTATCTGACACGATACACGTCCGCACTCCTTCGAAAATGTGTCCGATTAAAAAAAATATTTAATACAAATTGGACACACATGTCCGATATGCGTATCTTAAATATTTTATGAATTTTTTTAAATATAATTTCTTATATTTAAATTTTTACTTATTTAAAATATAAAAACTATATTTTTTATTTCGTATCCACAGCACCAAATTAATCGTCCGCACTTAATACCCATTCATCAAATATTCTCATTTTTATTTCTCTTTGGCACTGAATATGTTTCCATCTCCTCTCTCGATGACTGATAAACAACATCAACGTCTGACTCTTGACATCCTAATATTAATCATTTTAAGCATAAATTCTAGTTAAATGACGTATTATTTCTAAATTATTTTAAAATTATACTTATTTAATTTTTATATGGAATTTTTAAAAGATAAAAAATTATAATACCGTTCCAACCCGTGTCCGTGTCCTATATTCTCAATAATTGAGGTGTCCCGTGTCCATGTCGCCGTGTCCGTGTCTGTGCATCTTAGCCTAAAATAGTTAAAAATATTCATTGTTCATGAGTAATTTCATGATGAAAACCTAGTGTTATTTGATCATTATGAAAACAAACTAACGCAAAACATATATTTTGAGCTCATTTTATGATCAAAAGATGGAGGAACAGAACAAAAAAAAAAAAAAAAACTGAGAGAGAGAGAGAGAGAGAGAGAGAGAGAACTATGCTTCAATAACAGCTTTGTGAAAATGAAAAATTGAGGCCATGAAAGAATAAAAACCACAAAACTCAAAATAGAGAGTCCGAATTCCTTACAGATGCAATCTATGGTTTGAGACTCCTTCAGTTATCTTCTAAGAGAAATGCATCGGATACAAAAAAGATAATGAACAGACAAAATAAACAGAGAACTATAGTTCAATAACAGATTTATAAAGACAAGCAATATCATTATAACGCTAAGATTAGAGACCATAAAAGAATAAATTTAAAAAATGCCCAAAATGGAGAAGAAGCCTGATAGATAACTCACAGGTACAATCTATGGTTTGAGAACAGCTCCTTCAGTTATCTTCCAGCCAGATTCCAAACAAGCCATCTCGTATCGCGTCGTATAAGTCGTGTCGTACGAGTCTTTGAGCTCAGGCTGAGCAGCTTCTATTAATCTCGCCGCCTCATTAATCGTAGCTTCTACGGTGGCTCGGCGACCATCCAGTGAGATAGTAAGGCTATCAATTGTCAGGTCCTGTAGAGTGTACTCCCAGAACCAGCCTTGTTGGGCAACTTCTGAAGCACGATCCTTCCATATCTTCAGCATCCGGCCTTCAAGAATCTACACACATATAAGATATTTATTTTAATCAATATTAAAAAAAAAAATGGAATCTTACTTTAAAATAAGAAATAATATTTCTATGCACTAATATTGATCACTGCTAATAAATTATTAATAAAGCTAAATATACTGTAGCTAAAACACAATTTAACATGTATATGTCAATTTACTATAAATATTCATTTAAAAGGTAAATCCAAGTTCAAATGATCCATGCACAAATATACGCAAGTTCTATCTGCTAAATAAGCACACAAGTCCGGCAAATTATTACATCCAGTCACCAGATGCAGAGAATAGGTTCGGACATCAAATAAAAACTTGTCACGTCACCTGCGCTTTTGACTGCGCTTTATGTGCGCTTTGACTGTGCTTTACCTGCGCTTTTAACTGCGCTTTACCTGCAATTTTGACGCGCTTAATTTAAAATAATATTTTATTAATATCCAGACCTATCTCCGCGTCCGGTGACCGGATGTAATAATTTGCCTGCAAGTACAGATGTATAATATTTTTGTGGGTTTATTTACAAACTGTATTGTTAATTTTTTCAATATTTTGATGGTATATTGTTTAAAACGGCAATCAATTTGTTCAAATCAAGTGTAGATCTGCAATTTCATGTGTATATTTGCAATTTCATATCGAGTGAGTTTTGTATTAAGACATTTACTACAACTATTTACCCAAGTTGATAGACCTAAACATTAAGAAGTATTGCTCCAAGAAAATATAGTTCTATAATGTTTAGTTCATAAAACCACCACCTTTAAAAGTAAAAAGAGGAGAAAAACATGTATAATATAAATTTACTGCAACTATAAATTACTTCTCATCGTAATATTGATCAATGTATCATCTTCTGCTTGTCATTATATTAAAGGAATTCTGCAACTGTACCTTATTTATATGGAAAAGAAATATAGGCCTCCTTTATTTAAAAATGTACAAAGTAGGTTGTTAGGCGGTTCACCCTGAACCGGCCCAGCCAGCCCTAGGAGGCGGAAGCATTCCGCCTCCCTTGGCTTTGGCCGCTCAAAGGGTGGGCCCCACTCATCCAATAGAATTCAAATTGAAAAAAGGAGGGGGCGGCTAGGACTTGGGAGGGAAATTATATTAAGAAAGCTTTTGTATTAAAGAGCATGAGAGGATTAGGGAGAGATTATGATTTGATTGATTCTCAATTAGGGTTTCTTAGCGGCTTGGGCTCTAGACTCTTTTGTCTAGAGATTTAGGAGAGACGATCCTCCTCTCGAATTGAGGTTCTCTTGTCTCTTTGATTTGTTCTTGTTTCGCTTTGCTTTCTATAAGATTAGCTATCGTTTGATTGTTCTTCCACCATATTTTCTTCGTTTTTCTCACTTTTTATCGATTATTGTTAAGTTGGCTTGCGAACTCAAGTATTTCCCATCATAGGTCCTTGAAAATTAAGAAATGACGAGGAGCCAGGTCCTTATTGATGGGATTTATGAGGGTATTATACGGCATGCAAATAAATCTAACACGATAAGCCATTTTATAACTAAATCCATGAGTAATAATAATACAGAAAAATGAATATCTTACCGTTGGCAGATCCTCAAGATGGTGATCAGGACCCAAGGCCTGAGATTTTATATTTTGCCACTTGCGGACTAGGCTTTCGGCATGTCTTGCATCCATTTTGGGTAACTCCTTTTCTACATTCTGAATTGCAGGGATAACTGAACGCAAATATGCAAAAGTTAGAAAGGGAAAAAAGGGAGCAAAATTTTAAAATCTTAGATAAAAACTATAAACAAGTGTAAGTTTGTTTTGGACTGGAATTGAAAACTTTAAGCATTATTGAGGTTACAAAAAATTAAAGCTAGCTTGAAGCAAAGACTAATGGCACAGGGATGTCTCCAAGAAAATGAACATAACAGTGGAGTAAACCACATTGAAGGAGATATGGACCTGCCTGGAAAAGCAGTTGTCTAGAAGTGGTGGGTCGCATGGTTGAACAGGCTAAATCCTACCATTCAATTGTTAGTCCATAGAGAGAAGTTGTTATGCAAACAATTGCAACGGAAACAAAATTCACACTACACAAACACAATAAATATGGCGATTTACGTGGTTCGGCTAAAATGTCAACATCCACGGGAAAGGGATGATGATTTCACTATATTTGAGAATAATAGGGAATTACAATAGCTCTCAAACTTTCTCTTCTCTCTTACATTCAACAGCAGCTCCCAGGGCTCAATTTATATATTTGAGCCAAAAAAAAAACTTCCTAATAAAATCCTAATCAAATCTCAATTAAATCCATAATTGATGCAATAATTAGATCCCCAAATTAATGCATCAATCAAATCTCCAATCAAATCCTTAATTAATATAATAATTAGATCCCCAATTAATGCATCAATCAAATCTCAAATCATATCTCCACTTAAATCAACTTAATTAGGGAAATAGTCTATTCCCTAATCAATTAAAATAACGAGTCATTAAAATCTTTCCAAATAAAAGCTTATTTCACTTTGGAAATTATTCCAAATCAATAATGTCCACCTCATCTTTCACTTCAGAAAGTGGAAGATGACAAAGCATGCTCCAATATCAGAACGACTGCACCCAGATGGTTGCCTATGTACCACCCCTCCCAGGGGATCAAGTCGAGCATAATTCTTCAAACAAGTGGACAATCAATCATGAGTCATGCACCACTACCGTGGTGACTACATCTCCAAGCCTGCATCAACCATACCACAGGATACTCTTCACAGTTTGCCAAGAACTCCTTCCTGGATCATGCATGAACCTGCTCACAACGCCACTTGCTTGTGCAATGTCCAGATCGAGCTGCTCCAAAATGAGATGAAACTATGCTACAAGTGCCAAGAAACTTGCTACAAGTGCCAAGTGACCACGGGTCAAGAGATTCTTAACCACTGGGGAGAATACCTCATCATAAACAATCCCTTTCTGTTGCGTAGAGCCTTTCACCACCAACCTAGCCCTGTACTGCACATCAGCTCCATAAGATCATTCCTTCCTTACAAGCATCCATTTGCACCCAATGACTTTTCTTCGTGGAGGAAGCTTCGCCAACGTCCAAATAGCATCCTTTTGAAGAGACTCCATGTCTTCATCCATAGATCACCACTAGGATTGTCCACTGCTTCCTTATAGTGACTAGGAATTTCAACCTTCATGACTAAAAGTGCAAATGCAATGTGATCCCTCAACCAAGTTGCCTTTGGAACATTCTGGTGCTTGGTCCTATTCTTCGCAATAGATTTCTAAGAAGGAATCTTATCCTCAACATCATATTCTACCTCATGATCTGCAGTTGAATCAGGTACCTTGGAAGAAATGATATGCCTTTGAGAAGCAAATTAAGTTGCATCAAACTCCAACTTCTGCAATGCATATGTGATCCCAATAAAGCTCTCCACCTGCTTAGTGTCCCAAGGCTTCAACATGCTCGCCTCATCGAAAGTAACATCTCTGCTAATGACAATCTTTTTCTCTACCGGATTATAGAGTTTGAAGCCAATAAAGATTACCTTATTTTCCCCTAGTTCCAGTTTATCATTTTGAACATGATAATAATAAGTTGGACACCCAAATACTCTTAAGTACTCATAATCTCTAGCATGATGCCCTAACCACATCTCCTTTGGGGTCTTCTTTCCAATAGTTACAGAAGGCAGACGGTTCACCAAGTGACAGGCATAGTCTATTTCCTCAGCCTAATAAATTCTATCTAACCCAGTATTGGATAACATACACCAAACTTTCTCCACTAAAATCCATATCATCCTCTCTGCCACCCCATTATATTGTGGTGTCTCTCTAACAGCGAAGTGATGCTATATCCCAGATCTCTGGCACTCATGCAAGAATGCATTCGAAATGTATTCGCCCCCCATTATTTTATCTGATATACTGAATCCTTTTGTCAGTCTGAGTCTCAATCCACTTCTTCCAAGTTCTGAAAATCTCCAGTACCTCACTCTTGCGCCTCATGGTGTACACCCAAACATATCTAGAGTAATCATCAACAAAAGAGACAAAGTATCACCGCCCATTGAATGATTATGTATTCATTGGGCCCCAAATATATGTGTGAACATACTCCAAGATACCCTTTTGTACTATGGATAACAATACCCAAGGATACACGTGTCTTCTTGCCAAACACAATGTTTACAAAGATCGAGCTTGCAGGTGCTTGCTCCTTTAATCAATCATTGCTTCACCAAAGCCATAAGAGAAGCTTCTCCGACATGAGCAAGCTACATATGCCATAATGTAGTGGCATTAAAAGAATCATCAGCAACACCGGCCGATCCAATCATTGTTCTTTCCTGAAAGTAGTATATCAGTGCTCCATGATATATTTTCAGAACTCCTGCCTCAATGACTACCTTATAGCCCTTGGTTTCTAAAGCCCCAACATACAACAATTTTTTTCCTGATATATGGAACTTGCCTCACATTAATCAGCTCTCTCACAATATCATCATGCATTCTGATGAAGATGCTCCCTACACCAACTGTACGACAGACTTTGTCATTTCCTATGGTCACAATACCACTATCAAGCTCCTTGTAGGTGCTGAACCACTCTCTAGTGCGATAAATGTGATAGGTAACACCAGTATCCAGAATCCAGCATGAACCATCTGAATACAAACTTTGGGAAACTACAAATAGTGATACATATGAATCTTCGTCACGCTCTTTTACGTTAAGATTAGCCACAGTGAAAACTCTCTTTCCCTTCTCCTTCAGCTTCGCAGGCAATCTTTCTTCCAATGACCAATCTCCAACAGAAAGTACATCAATTCTTCCCAAGATTGCGCCCACGGAACCTGCCATGCCTGTTGTTGCCCTCTTTCTTCTTCTCAGATCTTCCTTGTTGGAGTGTGAGAGCGTCAGTTGAATCTATATTTACAAACTCCTTGTCCCGACGCCAGAATTTGTGATTCAGCAATGCAGTAGTCACCTCACCATAGTTTAAGATCTCCCATGAATGAGTATCATAGTGAAATTTTCATACTCATCCGGGAGTGAATTTAACAGAAAGAGCATCTTGTCTTCATCTCCAACCTCCTCATCCAGATTCAAAAGATATGTCAATAGTTTTGTGAAGTCATTCAAATGCTCATCAATTGTAATCTCATGCCTCATCTGAAACATGTAGAGTCGGCACTTCATACGAAGTCGATTCTCCATGTTCTTCGTCAGGTACATGTTCTCCAAAGTCTTCCACAGCTTCACAGCAAAAGTCTCCATCATCACCCCATACTTGATCTCTTGAGAGTTGAGACAGGCAATTTCTAATCAAGCCACAAGCACTCTAGTTCATCTTGAGTCAATCTTTCTCTAAAATCTCCTTGGGATGTTCATCGCTCTCCAAAATTTCCTTTAGATTTAAAGAGCACGGCGCATCTATCACCTCACATCGCCACATATAAAAGTTCCATTTGCCTTCAAATTCCATCACATCAATTTTGACGGGATGTGTAACCATTTAATGAATCGAAGCCTTCTCCACCGTTGAGGTGGATGTATCCATGGCTCACCAGATCTCATGGCCTCCACCAAATTGCAGCATTCTCACGATGCCAAAATTGCACTAATCTGGCTTACTTTTCTGCTTACAGCAACGAACAAACAAAACCAACATTCCAAACATATGACAGAACCTTCGTCAAACTCTCCAAGCCGCCGCCATAAATCCCACCAAAATCCAGCTTTGATACCAATTGTTGTGCAAACAATCGCAGCAAAAATAAAATTCACACAACACAAACACAATAAACACGACGATTTATGTAGTTCGGCAAAGATGTCTACATCTACGATGAGGGGTAGATAACATCATTATATTGGAGAATAATATGGAATTACAATACCACCCAAGCTTTATTTTCTCTCTTGCATTCAACAGCAGCCCCCAGGGCTCTATTTATATATTTGAGCAAAAAAAGGAAAAACTTTCTAATCTAATCCTAATCAAATTCATAATTAATGCAATAATTAGATTGTTAGATCGGTTTAGCCGGTCCATACGGGACCGGCTAGCGAAGCAGAGGCGAGATCTTTGCCTCTTGCGGAGATCGGGCGATCCGAATGCCCGGGCGGAGAGATTAGGAAAGTTTTTTGAGGGATTTGGGAGGAAAATTTGAATGTATGGACTGTTTAGATATTTCTTTTGAACTATATACATTAAATAGTTTGTCTTCCTAGGTTTAATGCATTTTGAATTGGGCTGAAATTTGAGATCTCTTAGATTTAGGTTTTCTTTTGGACTCTAGCGGCGTCTAGAGATTTGGGAGAGATAGATCCTCCTCTCGAATAGATGATCAATTGTATCTTGCTATTTTCCGTTTTCCTTTTAATCAAATAATACAAATTATCTACTGTTTTTTGTGGTTTTGTGCGGATTTGTGGAGAATTCTCGTTGTTTTCTAAAGTTTGATAGGACATACTTGAAATCTATAAGTGTTTCCTATCAAATTGATATCATAGCATGTCGATCGAAGGGGAACCAATGGCTAGAAGGAAAGTGAAAGTTTTGGAGGGAGAACTTGGGCAACTCAAAGCAAATTTTGAGGAGAAGATTGTTGATTTTCAAATTCATATTGCATTCGTCAATGAAAAGATGGAGCAAAAGTTCGTTGTGGAAGATATATTGAAGAAATTGCTTGAAGCCAAAACAAAATCGGTGACATCAAAAGAAAAGGAAACTACCGGCGGACACGTTTAGGGGAAGGGAAAATCCAGAAGTGGAGATCCTGGAAGGAGAAGATGGAATGCCTCCTCTAAAACCACTTTCTAGGGAGGAGATGAGCAATTGCTAGCTAGACGGGGTGCTGAATTTGAAAAGAGAGGGGATGATTTCGATCGTCAGGGTGTTGATTTTGAAAGAAGAAGATGGGATTTTGATGAAGGGTTGGGGTATGATCGTCGGAGGGAAGATCGTGACAATTTGGGAGACCTCCTCTTCGAGGGGAATGGGAGATTATGGAGGATTTAGGGGAAACGGGTGTGACCCGAGGGTGAGGTAAATGAAGATGTCAATCTTTGAGGGGAGGATGTGCACAGGTGGATCTACAAGGTAGAAAGATATTTTGTTATTTAATGGGTTAACAGAGGAGGAGAGACTGACAGCAGCGGATCTATATTTGGAACGGATGGCTTTGTCTTGGTATCAGTGGCTGGACATGCGATGACTCATATGGAGTTGGAGAGAGTTCAAGGATTGTTTGGTATAACGTTTTCGAACTGGCAGGGGAGGAGACTTCTACGAGCAGTTCTTCGCCTTGAAACAGGAGGGTTTAGTGATGGAGTACCGGGAGAGATACGAGTACCTTGCTAGTCGATTGGACCCCCTTCCTAAGGCAGTGCTAGAGGGAAATTTCATGAAAGGACTGACACAAGAGATCCGGGCAGCAGTTAGAGTAATGAGGCCTCATGAATTGGGAGAGGCTATGGAACTAGCTTAGTTGGTGGAGGATTAGAGACACCTGGAGAGAGAAACTGGAGGCAGTAGCTTCGTAGACTTGTACAGGATGACCATCACCTTATTGGCATCCAAGAAACCAACATTGGATACTCTTCGAGGAACTTCAAAGGAGAAGACTGCATGAAGAAGATCTGTGAACAACATCAAGAAGCTCACGAAAATAGAATTATAGGAGAAGAGAGCGAAGAGGCTCTGTTTCAGATGTGACGAGAAGTATACTCTGGGGCGCAAGTGTAAGGACCGAACTCTTCATGTTCTTATCGTTTGTGATGACGAGGGAATGGAAGAAGGTGTTGCCTTTCTACCTTGCGGACAAGGTGGATCTTTGGGAGGGGAGTATTATTAGATCAGTCCACTGGATCGGTCCAGCCGGGACCGGCTTGCGAAACAGAGGCGGGGTCTCCGCCTCCTATGGAGATCGGGCGATCCGAATGCCCAAGCGGAGAGATTTAGGAATGTTTTTTGAGGGATTTGTGAGGGAAATTTGATGTAGGGCTTGTTTAGAGATTTTCTTTTGAATTGTGTGCATTAAATAGTTTGTTTTCCTAGGGTTAGGGCATCTTGAATTGGGTTGAAATTTGAGAACTCTTAGATTTAGGTTTTCTTTTGGGCTCTAGCATCGTCTAGAGATTTGGGAGAGATCGATCCTCCTCTCAAATAGAGGATCAATTGTATCTTGCTATTTTCCGTTTTCCTTTTCATCAACTAATACACATTATATATTGTTTTCGTGGTTTTGTGCGGATTTTTGTGGATAATTCTCGTTGTTTTCTGAAGATTGACAGTAAATACTTGAGATCTACAAGTGTTTCCTATCATAGATCCCCTAATTAATGCATCAATCAAATCTCAATTAATGCAATAATTAGACCCCCTAATTAATGCATCAATCAAATCTCTAATTATATCTCCAATTAAATTAACTTAATTAGGAAAATAATCTATTCTCTAATAAATTATAATAATGAGCCATTAAAAGCTTTCCAAATAAAAGCTTATTTCAATTTGGAAATCATTCCAAATCAACAGAAGCTACTTCGGTAAAGGAAAGTGAGGTATTGTAATATTGCCATGTTATAGAAGGGGATTCCTACCCCACGAGCAAAGAGAAAGCAACCAGAACAAGACTTCATAGCCGTGGCCAGGGCTGCAGAGCAGCACATAAAAGAGACCCGTCTCATGGTTGGATAAACTCTATCACAGAACAGCTTATTACAACTGATTTGAAACGCATCAGCCAAACTCTTTCACAAGTTCTTTGTCCAGTTCAATTCTCACTTACAAAAGATATAGAAGTGGGCAGGCATCTTCGCCTCCAGAAAACAAAAAATGACCATGATATTCACTAACGCATTGAAACAATGTTATAACTAAACCAATCAAATCTGAAAGAATGGTGCAAATTGTTGTTAATTTAGATAATTCATAATATATCTTAACTGATAATTGAAAAAGCAATTGCATGTTTAACGATGCCACTTAGAAGGGAAAGGTAATTGTTGACCATCATGCTAAACCAAAGGAACAAAAAGGTAGAAGAAACCATGAATCCAGCATATATACTCGCAAAATGAGGGCGAAATCTCTGGGTAGTGTCTTATCTACAAACCCATCTGCCTTCCAAAATTTACCTCGGAACTTAGTTCGTTAAAACTCCCTCGCCGAATAAGAAAAGTGAGTGGAGGCCGGGGCCGAATTTTCGGAGCCCACAGTAATTAAAAACTAAAACAATAGGCATGATTTTCTTAGTAAATGACCTATGGATAGTACAAACGCTCACCTACCAAACTGATATTTGAAAGGGGAAAAAGGAAGATAATATTAAGAAAAGGAAAAGAATATGCATGAACAAAACATAACGAACTTGTTGATAAGATTTATAATAATTGAATCATACTAAACAGCTAATAACAAGTCTATGATGCTTTTGAAGAAAAGATCTTGACATCAGCAAGCAATTGATAAAGACTTATGTTCATGGAGGACAGTAAAATTGCATAATCGTCAATAAAATTGAAATCACGTCTACGTTTCAATGTGGCAAAGTAGTCATCTCGTATTATAAGGAACAACACATTGTATATGAAATAACTGAGCAGCAGAAACTCACTCCATCGGAAGGAAAGATTTTCCAATGAGTAAATATTTACCAATTTACCATTTACCAAACAAATAAATGAAAAAAAAAGGTTCAGAATATTTAAAAATTACCAGTATGAACTGTATTTTCAGCCATTGCAGATCCAACTTCCTTTATTGAACCTGAAGACACATTTCTCCTTGGTAAGTACCTGAGTCCAGCAAGAGTCAGTATGCCCACAGCTATTCCAGCACACATTATCTTCATGCTTGCTTCCTTTATCATGTATGTAAAATCTTCCTCGTTAGAATATTCAGAATTGGGTTTCTCAAAAGCCTCGTTCTCATTCTCTTTAACATATTGATAGGTATCCATTCTGGACTCTTCAACTCCACCTAGTTCAGATGTAGAACTATGTAAACCAGTGGAGACCTCAATGCTACCTCTTCCCTCCCTCTTGGTCAATGGAAACACTTTCTGCAGAGCATGAAGTGCACTTGATTTTACATTACCAAGTGCAGCAGTAGCTTCAGCCCCAATTTTTACTATGGAAGCAGCTGCTGCTAACGGTGAAGCCCCACCTCCTTCCATTTTTTCTAGATATCTCAGCACTGTTGGATCATCATAGTAATCCTTGAGTCTAAACTGTATACCTTGAGTATCTCTAAATCTTGGGAAAACAACCTCAATGAGCCATGTCTCTAACAATTTGCAAAGTCCAGGTAGAGGATCATGATCACTGCCAATGTTCGAATTGCTCATGATGAATTCTACAATATCCCGATTTCTATAAGGCGAACTCTTATCATCAATGCCCAACCATGAGTAGCACTCATCAAGATCTCCCAATAGCAGTGAGCAGAGACCCCTTTCAAGTGCAAAGTCTATCTCCCTGTCTACCTTGGTGGTGTATTCAGAATTAGCACCTAAAGAGGTAACTTTGGTCTGTTGGAGTTGCTGAAAAAGATTGCCAGCATCTTTAATAAGATGCGCCTTTTTACCAATAATGGCCTGTGCTACTAAAGCCAGTGCCACACCATATACTTCAAAGCTCTCCGCTGGTATGTTACTTGGTGTCGCAGCAAACAAATCTATCTTTAGACCATTAAGAAAAAAAAGGACAATCAGCCCCTAACCATGAAGTATATAATGATTATTCAAGTAATGTTCTCACAAACCTGCTCCGAAGCTGTCATATGTACAAATGCTTCATTCATGAAATCTTCACGAGTGAATCCTCCCCCTATTACTGAAGCACCTCCTTTACCAACCGTCCACAATATACTGCGTACACTATGTAGACCATCTTGCCGTTTTATACGGTGCTCTTCATCAAGGGGCAAGGCTAGAAGTTCAAGAGTACAACGAGGGGATATCTCTTCCAATGTCTCATCAATCTGTGCCATCAGGTCACGTGCAAGGTTGCTAGCCCCTTCCTCCTGTGGCCAACAAGATTTTGAAAGGTATACAAATGCAAGCAGGAATCTAAGTCCCGGAGTAGTCATTGTAGATACTTCTCCAGTCAATATAGCATAAAAACTTGTTTTGAAAATGAAAATTTTTTTTCTCATTTCCTATTCAAAAATTTTATAAAGAGAAACAAAGAGGGCAGGAAAGAGTTGGAATGTTATGTATATACACACGTGTGTCTGTGAGAGGGAAGGGGGTGCTAGCTGGCTGAGTTGATAAAGGACATGGAAGATTTTTTCGAGCTATTGAGTTTGATCCCCACCTAGATCACTTTTCCCTACTTCTCGAGGTAGGTAGGTATTGGGCTTCATATATACATAGGCATGCATGCATAAGAAGCAACGAAAGAATCATTGCAAGGTTGGGGCCAAATACATCAAGATATATTCATGTAGTCGCCTTATGGAATAATTTAAACAGCACTCAAGAGGCTCTTATTGCTGATCTTAGCATGCATCCTATAATCCTATTCACAAAGGATGCATACTACAAATATCATAAAAATAATATTTTTTTTTAATTTTTTTTTCGTGTATTTTTTATTTATTTGCAACTTTTTCCTTTTTAACAAATTATGAAACAATTTCCTAAAATAATTAAGTATAAAACAAGCTTATAAATCTATATAAAATATTATATGTTCTAATCTTAAATGAAAATATTAGGAATTTAAATCATAAATTTGATCGGAAAGTCATATATATCAAAAATGAGAAAAATTATTTGAAAAGAATATAATAATGGTTGTTTAAACTTAATGGAAATTTTTATAAGATGGTAATGAGACCTACAATGCTTTATTCTTTATGGCGTAGAATATTGGCATTTAAAAGAGACACATAAAATTAAGTTAAGTGTTGCAAAGATGAAGATGCTTAGGTGGATAAACAGATTTACACCTAGAGATAGAATGTGAAACGAGTATATATGTGAAAATGTTGGAGTAGCTCCAATGACAGATAAGACTAGAGAGAGTCAGTCGCCTTGGATGGTTTGGTCACATAAATTGTCAGTCTTTTGATCACACTGATAGGAGAGTAGATATATTACAGCCGGCCTATGTTAAGAAAGGTAGAGGTATACCTAAAAAATCTTGGATAGAAAGTATTAAAAATTACATTTTAATTAGATTTAGATAAGGATTCAACTCTTAATATGACACAATGGAACAAAAATGATCCATATAACTGACCCCATGTAATTGGGATAAAAGTTTTTTTTATTGTTGTTGTTGTTGCCATTGTCCTACTTGCTATTTTTTATTTTTAAAAATACTACTTGCTATTTTTTATTTTTAAAAATATGAAATACAGAAATAGTATTACAAAATGGAGTCTTCTCAAAAGCTGTCCACATTTCAATTTTTCTTTCCTCTACTTTCTTTTAAAAAATAGAAAGGAAGTTGGACTTATATCCAATAAGTGAGGAAAACATACTTTTCCTATCAGTTTTCTTTTGTCTAAAAAAAAAACCCCGATTGTAAAGCTTCCCAAACATAACATCACTAATGTTCTACACATCTACTTTTTAATTAAGCATTAAAAAAGAATCATATGATTAAAATTATAGAGATGTTTCGAGCAATTAAATAATAGAGAGGTTTAGTGAGTAGCAATTCCATAAGATAGTCTAAAACTACCAACATGAATCGAGGGTTACCTGTAGTAGCTTTAATGCTCTCTGAAGAACTTCACAACAACCCATGAAATCTGGTGGATTCATGGCCATAGCATCCCTTGACAAGTCAACATATGCAAGGACCATAGCTAGTACCACATCCTGCTTGAAAGGTTTAGGCAACCACTCACGTAAAAGACCACCACCAACTTGAAGGACTGTCTCTGCTTCACCAGCCTCTTGAAGTAGACACAGAGCCCCTGGAACCTATTACAAAATCAAAGGTTAACAAAAGAAACTAACTTAAGATAATGCACATGCTAATAGCCATAGTAGACAACTTGAGTGAAATTTATACTTGTTTTTAAGGAATTGGTCAACAGTTTAAATACTATTCAAAAACAAAGCCATAAAAGAAACATTTAGGCTATTTTTAGGTGAAAGGAAATGAAGTTCAATCAACTTGTAGCTTGATTATACATATGAAACAAAGTTGGAAATTTTGAGCTTCTTTTTAATTTGTTTTTACTCGCATTTATAGCATCCAAACAACGCCTTACGAAATCCCTAGATAGAGGATTACATCATTCAAATGTTTGGCTACGTAAACAGTAAACACCATTAAGTTATGAACTAGCACCTCTAAGTTCACCAAAAGTGTAGAAAGTTTGAATAACAGCATCGTTTTTCTATAAGATATTCTAAAGATAAATAACTGTACACAGCTATAAAAAGGAGATATCCCAATTTCAAATGTAAGCAAGAAACTTCAATATGAAGAGGGGGTCATCGACGAATAGGCGATTGCAATAGTTAATGCAGGTGAAACGGATTGTAGCAAGCAAAGATCATAATTATAATTCTGAGTGGGACCTAGGGGTTAACGTGTGAAGATCAATGTAGCAAAAGGCAAAACCAAGGGGATTAGGCAAGTGCAAGAGCAAGTTCGCTATAATACTAGGACAAACATAGATGGAAGAAGAAAATACGGGAGAAGATAAGTGAGAAAATCATAATGGATTTAGAAGAAGGCAGAGAGATTGTTGGATCACAAATCTAATACCATGTAAAAAGTTTGAATAATGGTATCATTCTTTCATTTAAATATTATAAATATATGTAAGTGTACAATGCTATAAAATGGAGGTTTCTCACTTTCAAATGTAGGCCGAAAACCACAATTGGAAACTAAAGAAAAATACAGGAGACGAAGAAAATAAGAAGCTAACTAATTACAATAATTATGTGTACTAACAAGAACAGGCTTCATTTCAAACAATGAAGGATTTCAACAAAACCATTGCGCCCTAAAACAATTGCAAATTATGAATCCATGACCTTATTACAACCAATCAATGACTGTCTTGGACTAAACCCTACAACAACAACAACAACAACAACATCAAGCCTTTATCCCACTACGTGGGGTCGGCTACATGAATCCTTTTTCTCCATTGTGTCCTATTAAAAGTCAAATTCTCGTTTAAATCTAATAAAGAAAGGTCATTCCTAATATTTTCTAACCAAGTCTTTTTAGGTCTACCCCTACCTTTCTTAACATAAGTCAAATCTAATACCTCTACTCTCCTAACCGGGTCATCGCAAGGCCGCCGTTTTATGTGACCAAACCATCTAAGGCGACTTTCTCTAATCTTATCTTCTACTGGAGCTACTCCAACCTTTTCACGTATATGCTCATTTCGTATCCTATCTCTAAGGGTAAAGCCACTCATCCACCTGAGCATCCTCATCTCTGCCACACTTAACTTAGTATTATGCTTCTCTTTTAAAGGCCAACATTCGGCACCATAAAGCATTGCATGGGGACTTGAACTTAGTATTATGCTTCTCTTGGACTAAACCCTATACCCGAAAATTCAGTGCAAAAGAAAACTAGTAGATCAGCGTCGAGGTTAAGAATACCTTATCCATGGGGACTTGGGTAGTAAGAGTGGAGCTGGGATCTTCGGCGAGACCCCGGTTATAGTCGCCCCTGGAACTGGACTTTGAAAGAATGTCACATGCAGCCTGGAGTATCTGCCAACGACCAATAAGGGCTTCCTGGCTAAATCCATACTGGGGAGGGTTTGAAACCCTAGCTTCATATGCCCTTCGGATTCCATCCGCCAAGAAATGCGTTTCGGCGCCAAGAACCTAAGGAAAAACAAGTAAACAACACCATCAAGCTGGCATTTACATAATTTCTCCACACATCTTAAGACAAAAAAAATTTGGCAACACCACGCTAAAACAAAAGAAGAAATGCAGTTATCTCGCCCCATATATAGAAGGAGAAAAGGTGAGGAAGTGAAGAGAAACTGAAAATTTAAGGACATGACTATGACCATGGAGTATCATGAGTTAAACCTGGTAGAAGTCGATCGGGAGGGGGATGGTACGCTCGGCGGCAGCAGGTAAGAGGGAGAAGCCAGGAGGGTCAGCGACTGCCGATGAAGACGGAGATGAGCTGGGCTCGGCGACCGCTGGGTTGAATTGGAAGTCTCCAAGGAGTCGTTCGGCCCATCTGCTCACGCGGCAGGTGACGCATGAGCCGTAGAATGAGGTGGAGTTTCTGGGTTTGCTGAATGACGAAATGTTAGACAATCTGGAGGAGAGGAGGAAGCAATAACGTGGGAGGGTGGAGAGGTGGATGAGTGCAGCTTGCGCCATGTACTCCTTTGCTGTGAAGCAGAGATTACAGTGCTGGAAAGCTCGTAGATGGAGGCGGCGCCATGGGTTTCCTGTTCTTCAGCTGCCAGTGGATGCGATCATGCGAAGGTGTTTGGTCTAATGAGTGCTACTAAGGGTACTAGGGGAAAAGGGTCAAAAAAGCCGGTCTCTTCTTCCTCTAAGCGTAAATGATCTGTCCTAATATTGTCACTTGAAATATTAGGAGTTTTTCTGCCTCTAATAAAGTGAACTTCTGCAAATTGTTAGTAAAAGATCTTAATTTAGATATGGTTTGCATCTTGGAAAACAGAATTCAGCTTCCTAGTCTCTCGGATAGGAGCTTTCTTAACAGTCATTTGGTTTATGATGTTGAAGATAGTTATAATAACTTCCACTGTGCTGCTTCTGGTATAATCTGGATTAAATGGAGTAAAGACAGGCTTTCTTTTAACCCTTTTTTCTGTTCTTCTCAAATGATTGCTGGTATGGTCAAGTATGGTACCTGTCCCCCTTTTCTCCTTTATGTTATATATGCTTCTAATTCGCAGGAGGAAAGGAAAGTTCTTTGGGATGAATTAAGGAATCTCACCCCTACGGCTTGTATTCCATGGATAGTTATGGGAGATTTTAATTGCTGTAGGTTTCCTTCTGAAAAATTAGGAGGGAATATTCTTACCCAAAATCAGCTCAATGATTTCAATAAATGCATCTTTGATTGTAATTTGAATGATCTAGCTTCTATTGGTCCTTCCTTTACTTGGTACAATCAAAGGACTGATAATCATATTCACATCAAGCTTGATAGGATGCTGATCAACAATCATTAGCTCTCTTTCTTTTCTGATTCTTACTATATGGTTAAAAATCCGGATGGGTCTGATCACTGCCCCCTTTTTCTGAAATTTGGAGTTATGTCTTCCATCAAGCATCATTTTCTTTTCAAGAATTATTGGCTCAAGTATGAGCAATTCTGGCTTCTCTTGTTGGAGGTGTTTTCTGTTAAGATTAAAGGTAATCCTTTAGTAGATCTTTGTGCAAAGCTTAAAATCTTAAAAGTTGATGTAAAGGGGAAATCATGGGCTTCTTCTAATGTGATGGCTGATAGCATCAAGAATATGCATAATAGACAAGCTTCTTGTCTTGATAGATTGCAGGCTGATGTGGATCTTATACAAACTTCTATTGAGCTAAAAAACATCAATCTTGAGCTTGCTGTCACCTCCTCTTTGTGGTACTCGTGGATCAAGCAAAGAGCCAAGTCTAAATGGCTTACACAGGGAGAGGAAGATTTAAAATTTTTGTACAACAGAATTTGTTTGAGGAGGAGTTATAAAAAAACGGCTATCACTCTGGCTATGTCTAACTCCAATTCTTCCATGTCTGATGCTATCAAGGAATCTGTCTCTTACTTTCAGAGAATTTTTAATTCCTCTAGGAATCTGGATTTTGATATCAACCTCTTCCCAACTGGTAACTCTATTCCCTCTGAATTTATTGAAGACTTGGTCTCTCCTTTCACTGATAAGGAGATTAAAAATGCTGTTTTCTCGGGTGCCTCTAACTCTACGCCTGGACCTAACGGATTCAATTTTGAATTCTTTAAATCTACCTGGATGGTTTGTGGTCCTGCTGTATGTTTGGCTGTTAAGTATTTTTACTATAATCCTTATATCCCTCGTGCAGCCAAAGCTACTGCTATGACTCTTATTCCTAAATCTACTAATGCTGAGAATATTACTGATTTCCGTCCTATTGCTCTCTGCAATATTATTTATAAAATTATAGCCAAAGTGCTTGCCTCTAGGATGAAGCCTGTTATGCCTATTATTATCAAGGAAAATCAAGCTGGATTTATTCACAATAGGATATCTACTGATAATGTTATTCTTGTAAATGAAATCCTTCAATTTTATAGGAAATTCTCCAATTTCAAGCTTATGTGTGTGAAGCTTGATATCAAAAAAGCCTTTGATAGTGTATCAAGAGAATTTCTTTTGGCTAGGATGTTGCAGAAGGGTTTCCCTTCCATTTTTGTTAGATGGATTGATGCTTGCATTAAGGATGTGTGGTTCTCCTTGTGTATTGATGGGAGTCTGGAAGGTTTTTTTCCATCTACCTCGGGTCTGTGTCAGGGTTGCCCTCTCAGTCCCTACCTCTTTAGCATTGTCATGGATGCCTTGTCTTGTCTTATTGATTGCAATACTCCCAGTTTTGAAGCTATTATGATTGGGGAGTATAGGCTTTCGCACCTCCTGTATGCTGATGATGTTATCATTTTTGGGAAGGCTGGCTCTCTGAATTCTCAAGCTCTGAATCATATTCTGCACACATTCTCATATGCTACTGGACTTAAGGTGAATTATGATAATAGTTCTATTATTCTGCCATCTGGTTGTGCTAATGCTGTTGATATTTGCACTACTCTTAACATTAGCAATCCTTCCTCCTCTATGATATATTTGGGAGTTCCCATTTCCCCTTTCAATCCCAAAATATCCTGTTTTTCGAAGATGATGGAAAGTATTATTGCTAAGGTATCTGGCTGGAAGGCAAAATCTTTATCATTTGCTGGTAGATTGGAATTTCTTAGATACACTATCTGGAATATGATAGCATATTGGATAAGGGGAGGTATTATACCTAAAACCATTCTCAAACAAATTGATAAAATCTGTGCTAAATTTATGTACTTTGGAGATTCAAATGGTAAGAAAATGCACTTAATTTCTTGGAGAAATACCTGCAAACCCAAAAACATGGGGGGTCTTGGATTGCCTTCCCTTCAATCTATTCAGTTTGGCTTCAACTGTGCTCTTATTACTAGAATTTATAATTTTTCTAGTCCTCTTGCCAACTGGTTTTTTAAAACATATGTATCACCTTGGAAATAACCTAGTACCAAAGCTACTAAATTCTGGAAATATGTATGTAAAGATGCCTGTTATGCCAAAGAGAAATTTCATTTTTCAATCTCTGTGCACTCGAAATGCGCTTTGTACTGGGATCATTGGTATAGGGATAAGTGCATTACTGAGCTAGATGAATTCAGGCCTATTTTTTCTGTTTTTCCGGTGAATGAATGCATTTAGGTGATACTTAATCAGTCTGGTTGGGTATTACCTGATACTATGCCGAGCCACATGCATCAAACTTTTTCTGTATTTCCGGTGTTTATGGAGGGAAATAATACCATTTTTTGGGATACTGGTAAGAAAGGGAGCCATACTGAGTACATATATTTTTTTTATAGAGATCAATTGAAGGTGAATTGGTGGCATTTTGTATGGCATAAGCATTATGTTTTAAGATTTTCCAGTTTTTGCTGGATGGCACTTTCTGGTGGGCTGAAAACAGCGGACATTTTGCAATCTAGGGGCTTGTTTGTCAATCCTATTTGATCTCTTTGTCATTCTGAGATTGAAACTGTTAGTCACCTCTTCTTTGAATGTGACTACTCTTTTATGGTGCTTAAAGATCTTCTTTAAAAGATGGGTAATATGTTTTTTAGGCCTTCCATCCTTCAGATTTTTGAGTACATTGACCATAATTTTAAGAAGGATGAGAAATTTTACTGCCTGATTATCTGTTGTGATGTATATCATCTATAGAGAGAAAGGAATGAAAGGAATTTTGGTACTAATGTGGCTTCTTCTACCACTTTAGTACACAGAATTAAAGGTGTTGTTCTTGCCAAAATCATGAAATGGAAAAGAGAGATTATTATATGGAGCTGCTGTAATATTCTGGGAGTTATGTACAGAGGCTACTATTTCTTCTTCTCTTGCCTTGCAGATCCTGGGTTTTTCTCTGCAGATTTCTGACTGTTGTTCTTCTGCTATGCGAGAGTGAATGTATTATGTTTCTGGTAGGTTTTGTTTTCTGTGGGAATAGGGCAATGATGCTGCCCTTTCTCCCTAGGATGGCAGAATTTTGGGGATATTTTTGCAACCAGGTTGAGTGAGCGGCAATTCCTGAGCCTATGGCGATTCTTTCTCCCTCAATCTGCTTTGTTTTTTGGTCTTTGGCTTATTTTTTCTGCTGTCTTTTACAGGTTTTGGTTTAATTTCCTTTTAGGGATTTTTGTTTTTTATCTCTGTTTTGGGCTTTGTTGTTTTTTAACAAGGTCTTAGTCTTTCTTTCTTTCTCATTACTTGTAACAAGTTATAGTAATGAAAAGGCAAATGCCACATTTCTCCCAAAAAAAAAAAGAGAAAAGATTGAGCGGGCTAAAAGTTAGTTCCCTTACCGAGTCTTATTATATATACTAACCAAAAATTGTTAGTTACATTAAACTTAGTTAGCTATAGATCTAAATATTATGTAGAATATACATACATACATTATTATTGAGTTGACCAATATAAACTAAGATTTCATTCATATTTGACCACTTATAATAATGAGATTATGAAAATTTGAGATACATTTTTTATGATTTATTTTTCAGATCGCAATCATAATTTATGTTTGACCATATTTTCTTATTGTTTTCAAAAAAAATTATGTCGAGAAGTTGTTTTTGCAGCAACTTTCAAAAAAGTTACTATCCTCATATCAGCTTTACAACTATTTTTACAAACAATCGTAACTGTCCTAAACAGATCTTTAGTTTAGGGTTTACAAAAAAATTGTTACGAGTTAAGAACAATTGAAAATAAACATGAAAAGTTCTCACAACCATATTCTAAGATTTGGAAAAAAAAGATAAAACTATGCATAATCTTTTTATTTGAAAGGAGGACCGAGTTGCACAATCACTATTGAGATGGTAATCACCATGCAAACATGTGCCTTGTTTGATGCGCACATCTTACCCTCAATATGTGCAATTTAGGGTCCATTACCGTTCATCGAAACTGAAAGTAGCGATGGGAGCTCGCTATCTTACTCCCTTTTCTTGCGCTTCTTCCTCCCTTTCGTGACAGTTCACTGTATATTCGTGTTGGGTTAAGCAAACCCGGAAACCCGACGGGTCGAGTCCAGGTTGAACAAACCGATCCGTTTGCAAAAACGGGTCAAGATTGAGACTTGCATTATCAGCATGATATTTATTCAATCAACTTGGATAGCATATCCGTTTTTTATCCAATAAGATTATGTAAATTGTTTGTTTCATGAATATTCAAATGTAATGTAGGTTTATATTATTTGCATTTATAAAATTATAACTAGAATCATACACATTTAATTCCTATAAATTCGAGTTCTTATTATTGTTAAATATGTCACGTGTGGAATATGCGATGGTTTTTGAAAAAGTGATTATAAAAGTGATGCGGGGAAAGTAACTTTCTAGAAAGTTGAAATAGAAAATAAACTTATAGTATACAAATATTTTAAAAGCAAAAAAAAAAGCAATGGTCAAATAAAAACGGTGGTTATAATCTGAAATATAAATTAGTAAAAAAAATGTCTCAAACAAAATCAAATAAAAATTTTTTTATTGATGAATGACCAAAAAATCTATTATTTATGCATACATAATTTAATTTAAAAAGACCAATTTTTATTGCAAACATAATTTAATATAATAATTTTAGTAAATAACCATCCTTTTTCCCTTAATATTACACCACAATATAATAAAAATAAAAATAAAAACTCTCTTACAATATACATAATTGTAAGAGCTAAAAAGTACGTATACGAAATGTCGAAATGAGTATATGGGCTTCTTATCAAAGCCACTGACTCAAAAAGCTCATATTACAGCCCATAAACAAAAATAGCTACACGAAATATTCGTACTTGGGCTTGCCCATTAAGCTTCATTTTTTACAGAGATTCCAAGATGGTGATTTTAAAATTAAATAAAATTTAAAATTGAAATTGAAGCTATAAAAAATAAGATCGTCTTCACCTTAAATTAAGTTAAAATTTTTGCCTTTTCATATAAAATAAAAAAATGATTATATATCAAATATATAATCAAAATAATCTAATTAAAATTATAAATGGAATAACATTAATTTAAAAAAAATGAAATAATGTATTGTGAAATATTATATTTAATTTAAATTTTTAATTATTATTTAAATAGGTTAATATTAAAGTTAATTTAAACAAAAATATATATATTATTCCCAATTAAATTTATATATCGATAGAAGAATGAGAGTAAAAGGCAACGTTGGTTCCTTTTCCTTATCAAGGTTTGATATTGGCTTCTTCCAGCCGGCTATCATAGTGGTCACAGGAAAAAAGGGGTCTTTCTTTTTTTTATATACTTTTTTTTTGGACATTAAGGCCATTTAAAGCAAAAACTCAACACACACAACGATACACAATTAGCTTCAGAACCTTGACCTCTTTTTAATACATTTCAATAGCGACCAAGCGAGCGAGCCAAAAATCTGGCCGGGTCAGACCGCGGACCGGATCGATTTATCAACCAAGAAATTTCTAGGAAGACTTTTAAGCGAGGAAGTTTATGGCTGAGATGTGATCACCGTTATTTATTATATATTTATATATTTATTTGAAAAGTAATTCTTTTAATTTATTGCTAAAAAAACATTATTTTTATAAATATTTCCCAATCTCTC